TGGTATCATAACATACAACATTATTCGATACAAGCCTCCACAACACTATGCATATCATTAAGCAGCATGTTCAAAACTAACAAACACTGCACATTAAACAAAATCATTCCTGTACATCACAACAAAGCACAGAAAACAAAATCCAGAAGCCAACACAGGGGCTCAACACGGGTGCCCGTGTTGTGCAACACGGCCCGTGTGGAAATGTGTCCAGAAACACATTATTTTACCAATACAGGGGATCAACACGGGTGCCCGTGTTGTGCAACACGGCCCGTGTTGCCCATACAGAAGATCAACACGGGTGCCCGTGTTGTGCAACACGGCCCGTGTTGATGAGCGCGTACAAAATTTCCTGTACCTGCAGCATGCTCAGAACAGCAGCCAAAACACGAAAAATACCAGCCAAAACGTGCATTTCGGTACATAACAACATCAATTTTGCATAACTCAAGGCAACACATCAATTGGGAACATAATTCCCTTCTAAGTTAGTCAATTTCCAATCTTAAGAACAACATCAATTCACTTAAGGTCTCATTTTCCAAAATCAATCAAAACTCAGAATTTTCATTTTTAAAACATCCTATTTTATCAACAATTCTTTCATCAACAACAAGTTTTATAAAATTGACCTTAAGTTACATATTACCCGCCCTTTAGGAAAATCCTAACAACATTGAGGTTATCCCTAGAATTACCTAAGGGAAACTCTCGTTCATACAAATATACTCCAAATCCACCATAGAAACCTAAAATCCTTAATTGATTCATAAAATTTGGGAACCTAAACCTTTTCTAACAAGATTCAACCCTAAGGTTATTGATCCCTAAGAACATCTAAAAATTGGGGTTTCTCCCTACGATTATCCAAAATCAATCGTACCTAAACCCATAAACAAAGGTAAATCGAGTAGTAGCCCCCCTTACCTTATCAAATTGCAGCTTGAGTTCTTTGAGCGATGTTCTTCGTTCTTCGCACCTTCAGAGCTCAACTTCCCAAATATCTCCAACTTCTGTGTTATCGTGAAAAATGAGAAAATAACTTGAGTTCCAAAATATATCCTCATTTCTTTTGCACCCCCACTCTTTACTAACGACATCCAAGCCCAATAACTTAAAAACCCAATATTTTCTTATTTCTTTTATTCCCTTCAAATATTCCAAAATAAATAATTCTTTTATTTTATTAACTCCAATAAAATAATTTTCCCATTAAAATAAATCAAACAATTAAAACTGGGGTGTTACAAGCTGCACTCTCTAGCCTCCAGATTGAGTTGACACTCGCCCTCACAATTTGAGTTTCTTTACCGAATCTGAGTTAAGTCTCAGCCGACTGCACTCTCAGACCTCTGATTGAGTTGACACCCACCCTCACGGTTTGAGTATCTTTATTAGATCTGAGTTAAGTCTCAGCCGGCTGCACTCCCCAATCCAATTCGGGTCGAGTTGACACTCGTCCTTTGGGAGTTGAGTACTACATCGTCACTCCCTGCGCCTCTGACGTCATTCACGCCCAGCGCCTATGACCTGGTCACGCCCTCGTGCCTCTGACCTTACTTTACATCGTCATGCCCCGCGCCTCTGACGTCGGTCACGCCCTCGCGCCTCTGTCCCTACTTTAACTACAACCTGCATGGGGCTCTGAATATCGGTCGTGTTCAAAAAGAAACCTTTGGCCAAATTAGAAAAAACATTACAATCAAAGACTGGTTGAGTAACCTTTCGACCAAGCTAGATCACTCTTTTACCCAAACAATCGAGATAGGAATAACTTAGACATTATAGAAGAACAAAGCATTTTAAACAAATCGGGATATTGCTTCCTCAAAAGCGCTTCATCTTGTTGCACATGCCTCGCGCTTGGGGGGGATCTTATTGGTATCCCAAGTTAAGGATGAAAAGCCTACAAAAATGTTCTAAACTCACGGTATGGAACAAAAATTCATTATAAAACAAAAGCCTCCAAATGGGACTTAAAGGTTGTTCGGAGCCGAAAGGGGCTTAAGTCATGATTTTTTTATAAAACAAGATGAATTATGATTTTATAGCCACGCCAATGGTCCTATGGGGTCATAAAGACTAGGCAGGAGTTTCCAGAGTTGCTGGAAATAAAATGCAAAATTACTAATGGGTCGGATTCTCACTAGAGTAAAACTCATCGAGTTCTACGACGACCAAGCTTTTCTAAATTCTCTATGTCTAGAAATCTACTGGTCTCTATGATAAATTGTGGGTCGATAACTCATTGGAGCTCTCTGATCTCTCTGTCACTGAATGCATATCGGCTTTATGGCTTCAACGGGTCGAGACTCCCTTTTGGTTTTCTGCTTTCTCTACAAAGAAAACTCATTGGGGCTTCCTGCCCTATCTATGTTAAGAACCTCCCAGGTTCAAAGACTTGAACTGGTCGAGAACCCACTGCGGCTCTCAGAATTCTACCAGTCTAGATCTTATCGAGTTTTGCAACTACCAGAGGTCACAAACCTACTCGGAGTCCCCGACTTCCACATATATAAAACCCTTCTGGTTCCGATTACTTCAAATGAAACGAGAACCCACTAGGGCTTCTCCGAGTTCTCTAAATCTAGAAATGTGCAGGTCTCTACGACAAACTGCAGGTCAAGAACTCATTGGAGCTCTCCGACCTATCTATCACTAAAAACATATTGATTTATATGACTACAACTGGTCGAGATCCCACTGGGGCTCTCCTACTTCCCTAGGTCTAGAACATACTAAGTTCTACAATGACCATAGGTCTAAGACCTATTAGGGTTCTCCAATTTTCTTTTCAACCACCAAGGTTCTTCGACTTCTCCCTTAACAGTCAGACACTTTTCTCTGACTATGAAAAGGAGAGAGAAAAAGTACCATAAAGATGTCCATGATCATTATTCTTAATAACCCATTATCCACGTCACCAAGACGTAAGGAGGTACCTATACGAATTTCAGTCGGGTAGGAGTGTTGAGACTTTAACCCAGTAGGTCTCATGATCGGGGGGATTATGTACACCCCAAAATTCTCAAAGTCGATAATACAAGTCGGATACGCTAAGTAATTGATGTCGAGGTATGAAAAGGTCACCAGAGCTATCATGACCGGCTCAGTTACAAAAAGGTCAATGGTCATAAACGGTTACAAGCACTTATGGAACATGTTACAAATGATTAAATAAGCAGTTATATTTATTATGGCCATAAAACCTACTAAATGTGACTGTTTAGAGGGACTGAGGCTTATACTATAAATAGGGTCTCCCACCTAAGGGATAAGCAAGCCAATCTTCTTTAGTTGACATACACATTCATCGTGCAACTCAAATCCCCCAAATTGTACAATCTCATCCTCCAATAGACAAAGGGAGCTATCCCAATTAATAACACAGAAAGGAGCGTGTACGTGAAAACCTGGAGGTCACCAATAATGATGGTTCTTCAACCCTCTCTCAAAAATCCCCAAAACAGACAATATAGTTACTGCCTCGTCGGATTAGCTTTCGGGAAGTAATCCAAATGTGTTCTGCCGGAACAAATATAAATTATTATATTTATTAAAAACAGAAAGAAAAAAATCAAACAAATAACTTAAATAAATGAAAGAAACAAAAACTTAAGAGACAAGCAACAAAATTGTATTAGGGGTTATCCCCCTGAATATATAAGAGGTATTTATAAGCAATCTTTGAGCTTTGAGACTTGCGATGAACTTTGCTAAAGTATTGAAGCGACCAAATGACAAGAAGTGTTTGAACAGGGGTGACCGTGTAATAAAAGTAAATGATTCTTCATAATCAATATCATACTCTTGGGTGAATCTTTTTGCAACGAGACAAGCTATGTATCTCTCAATAGATCCATTAGAAAAAGTCTTTATTTTATATACTTATTTTCACCATACAAGAGGCTTATTAGAATGATGTTTAACAAGGTCCCATGTGTGGATTTTCTCCAATGCTTATAATTCCTCCTGCATAGCTTATTGTCAATGAGGATTTGTAGATTGTCCTTTATAAGATTAATGTTTGTGTGAGTGAAGCATACTGGAAAAACAATGGTAATCACGATATTACATTGCATTATTTTGGTGAGTATTTTTAATGGTTTTAAAAAATTGTGTTTGAATCATTTTAACAAGATAATGTGATGTAATATCATGATTTTAAAATCTTATATTTTTTTTTTCTAAGTGTTATGGTGCTGTAAGGATTTTTAGACTGGATCATAATCATTAATGAGAGCTGAGACAAAAATGATTTTATGAGTCTCATATGTTTTTAGATTAACTTCATATATCACTAATGAATATTTTGATTTTATTTCTTGTCAATCAAATAAACAACCAGCTTTATCATTTAATAAAATTACTTCTGTTTCAGGTTCATCATTTGTTATTGTGCATTATGATATGCAGGGATCTTCTCTCACATCTACTATAAGAGATTTTTGCTATTTTGTGTTGTTTATTGATGATTATTCTCATTTTAATTAAATATACATGATGAAAATTGTATACATGACGAATATACATGATGGAAAGTTGCTCATTACACCCTAATTGCATATCAATTACAAGAATTGAAGAATCATAACATACCCCTGAATCAACGACATAGACATTACATTTCTATCCAAAATTTTAAGATATTGAATGTCTAAATCAACTTTCTTTTTTCCATTCATAATCGATGATTTAACCACTTGCACTTGTTGAGTTTAATAATATTCGATGTGATTCAAACAACTTTAAAAGGTCAATAATAGAAAATAGTATAAAATTTTCAAGAGAGAAATGAATTAAAGCCCCGAGTATATTAATAATGGTGGGTCTCTTTCTCTACATCTTCTAGTAACTCTCTTCATGTTAATCCCAACAACTCTAATGTATGTACAAAATCTTTCTCCCAACAATACATGTATACTTTGCAAATAATTTGTTTGCACTATTGGTTATGTCTCATCACTAGCTTTTGTAAACAATTTTTTATTTTTCTGTCATGTTCCCTCCAAGAGATGAGGTAATGTTATCTTCCCACAGTTAGAGGGATCCAGCTTCCTGAATTGATCACAAATTTGCATTACATCTTTGTCTTGTATTTTTCCCATCTCTTTCAGCTTGAAGATCACATATTCTGACTTACTGAAAACAAATCAATAAAATATCTGGTGAGAAAATAATCTAAAAATATATATATAATCATTTAAAATAACTAGCACATAAAATAATTGAATAATGCATACATTATTGAATGTCACACTCACACTCTGCCCCTACTTGTTAACTATCATGCATAGAAAGTGACTTTGCCAATCAAATGTCTGCTAGTGATTAAACAAGACTAAAAAATAATCCAATCTAAGCTAATGCTTTATTAAACAAATCAAATTATGTCTTCTTATGACTAAGAATACATTGATATATATATATATATATATATATATATATATATATATATATATCTAGAAATCATGATTAGTGAGGAATGATTATAGCTAATTGTAATTATTAAGAGTAAATAAACTTAATTAGAATATCCTAGTTATGGCATCCAAGATTGTATTCTTGTTTGCTCTAAAACTCTACTAGCTAGTGGGTGATAAAATGGATCCGACCCGTCTGACATGCCCCCGTTTTCCCCGCACTTTTTTGCAGAGTAACTCAACTAGGTCTCACCATCTAATATGTCTGCCCCTCCCACCCCGTTTTTTTTGGACTTTTGCGGATGCGAAGATTAACATAAATTTTTACAATTTTTATGCTTTAAAGGTGCAAAGCCCACAGGCCACCCTCGATTTTTTTGGGGCGGACCATAATTTTAGTCTCGCGTCCACAATAATGTACGCCCCATCCCGCCCCTTTTTCTTTGGGCTTTTGCAGGACAAGCCTAATCAGAGTGACATATCCATTTGCCACCCCTAACTAATTTATTCTCGCAAAGAATAGTCTTGTTGGTCTTGAACTCAATAATCAACTATACTCTTCAGAAAAGTTGCAAAAGGTTTTTCGCAATTGCAATTGTAGCCGTCAAATCAAGGCATTTTTTCTGTTTCTCTAACAGCATTGAAACTATAATTGCAGCCACACCAGCCTTATTTGACCATAGCTTTCTAAATAACAAGGACTGCAATGCAAACTTGCTACCACAATTATAAACTACTAATACCAATGATAAAAGGTGTAAATTACCATGGGATGCAGACCATGAATCATGTATTTGTCTGCAATTGCAGCCACATGATAGGCCGTATTTAATGATCCACAATAATGCAACAAAATGCAGACAAATACGGTCAATCGATGTGGCTGCAATTGCAGTTGCAATGCTATGGCAAAGATCTTCAAACCCTTTATACTACTGCATTGCAGCCACAATTGCGATTACGAGGCACAATTTAGAAGTATATGCATTAGACCAAGAAATTTTGTTATGTTACCTAATAAAACCAGTATTGTTGATATCAGCAGCAAGCCAATCTTCAATAGTAATTTCCCTATGCAAAACCATCTTAGCCAATCTCCTATGTCTTCTATCAATCCTAGCCTCAGCCAAATACAAAAAAGCCCTAGCAACCATCAAAGTCGAAAACAACAACCATATAGCCGCAAACAACCTCCCGGGAAGCGTCTTAAACGCGCGGTCCCCATACCCAACGGTGGTAACAGACATAACCGCCAAATAAACGGAATCAACCCAATCCAAACCCTCAACAAAACACAAAACCAAACTCCCAACACCAATACAAAGAACAACAACCCCAAGTGCTAATCCAACCTTCAACCTAATCCTCATCCTCCCTTTGGCAACATCAACAATGTAATCCCTAGCTGAAAAACCCTCCCTAGCACCCATTTGAAGACCGGTTAAAATAGTGTTTTCTTGCAAATCTAAAACGAAATTTACAAGGCCGCTTAAGAGAATATCTATGAAACCGAAACCAACTAAAACGAAAACGCATGCGAAGAGTTTAGTTACTGGGGTTAATGGAGCTATGTCGCCGTAACCGATTGTGCACATGGTGACTATGCAGAAGTAGAGTGCGTCGACGATAGGGTGAGTTTCTATGCCGGAGAAATGGGTTGTGTTGAAAGAGTAGATGGCTACGCCGATAGAGAGGTAGATAAGGAGAAGCCAAATGCCTTGGCGGATGATGGAGTTGGTTTGAGGTTTGGGGAGATGAGGTTGGTTGGTGGTGGGTGGTGGTTTTAGGTTTGAGAGAATGAACATGGCAGGTGCAGTTTTGCAGCGGCTGAGTTTTTTATGTTTTGGAGAGGACGGTTGTTGTTGTTGTTGGTGGTGGTGGTGGGAAGTGAAGTTGCATGATTGAATTTCTGATGAGTGTTGCGGTGGTGGTTGTATGGTGGTGAAGTCGTTGAAGGATTTTGAAGAAGTGAGAGGTGAATTTTGACGGTTGATTAAGAGGAAGGGATCGTTTTCCATGGAAAAGAGAAAGAGTAGATGAGATTGGATGAGATTTGTGTGTGGACTTGGAAGTGTGTTTGGGAATAGTCACATAGATTTTAGTTTTTGAGTTATGAGGGATTCTCAGTTGGGTGGGTCCATGTCACGCCTGTTCATCACACAAAACAGGTGAGTCCGGAATCAGATTCTCTAATCTTCTGTATATAACTTTCTTTTAACTTTAATATTTTCAATGGAGAATTTTTTCTTTTATATCTGGTAATGCATTCACGGTTCAATATTCAAAATTAACGCACTTTTTAGTTTATTTCGGATGTGCAAATCTGAAGACACCTTTGTTTAATATATTTTGATACTTAAATGTTTGATATAAAATTTTAGAGGTTGTTTTAGATATGAACATTTGAAATCACTTGTACAAATATTTCAGACACGCATATCTGAAATTTCTTCTTTTTGTGTTATTTTTGTTTAAAACTACATCAATGCAGATATCTTATAAACGGATAAACTTTTTTATGATTTTTTTCGAAAATATGAAATGAACATAACAATACGGACATAACGATTAGATTAGATGTCCAGACATAGGGAAACATGATTTAGTACATAAGTTGTTTGAAAAGTGCGTAATGTCAAAATATTACATCGATAACAAAAAAATGATACATAACATATGCTACTGCTATTGCGTATGCCTAATCCTAACCCCTTGTGACCTCCTCCATCTCATATACTGCGTCGCACTGGATGCCTCCTTAATCATCCTCTTGTAGCGGTAGAAATGTTCAAGACTAAGTCATTAGATTGACTAGACTTTATACAAATCAAAAATAAAAATCTCCACCGCGCTTTATTGTTTCCAAAGGAATGGGAAATGAGCGAATAACCTAAAAAGGGAGAAAGATTCAAGGTAAGGGGGTTGGTTATGCAAAGGGAAGGTATTAACACCCTAAACATCTACGGTACTCCGCAAGAACCTCTTTGTAAAATCTGTATATTTTAGCTATAAAAAAACGTGTTATATATAAAATGGATGGTGGAGGTGAGAAAAGAAATATATCTTTTATGATTTTTGCACCCGTCGCGGTTGCGAACCTTTAGTGCCTACGTACCACCTTTCGTGCAATAGGGGATCAGGGTACACGTAGTTCCTCTTTTAAAAGTTTGAAACACAAGTGTGTTGGTTAATTTTAAGAGATAAGACATCATCGTCTTTGTCCGTGTGAAAAACATATTTACTACCCACAATCATGAGAAAGGAGAATTTACATCATCTCAAAGTGGAGGATATAGCTTGGATTTTAAAATCAACAATGCCTCACTCAACACCCAAGTGAAAAATATCTCTCTTCGTTACATGTTGTAGAAGTATAGTTGTTTGCATCACTACAAGGATTGACAAGAGTCTAATCTTTTGAGAAAAGTTTAAAGGTAAAAGCCAAAGTGGCAAAATGGTTTGAAATGAGATTGGTTGACTTTTAGTCTTCTCACAAAAATGTCAGGGTATTACTAAGTTGATTGAAATTTATTTATGAAAATATTTTGAAAATGCATGGACCTAAGTCTAAGTTTATTATGAAAAGGGTTTAAGTTTTAAAACAAGAAGAGTTTCAAAAGGAGGGAGAGGATTTTTGAAATTAAAGAAGATGAGAGGAGAAGAAGAGGCTATCCTAAAGCATAATGTAAAAGTTAAGGATAAGAACCATCTAACCAACAAGAAGCCAAAACTTGACATTATGAGCCAAGATAGAATTTCCATTCTTTGGATTGAAACCAAGCAAGCAAAGATACTAGACCTCTTCAAGTGTATAAAGTCTTCACAAAATTGGGCAGAGTAACGACTGTATACGGGTGAATTCCATATTACAAACAGAGAATGTAATCACAAAAACCTGCACACAAAAACAAATAAGCAACCCAATATCTTGAGGTAAACCTCAAGAGCTCCAGACAAAATAATCAGATAAGATCACAAGGTCTCTAAGATAGGCCAAGGTTTCTAATCCTAAGTCCAAGAAAAAGTCCATTGCTCCATAATGCCAAAGATAGTAACCAAATAGTCCAAGTACCATTAAGAGTTTTTTAGGGTTTATGTTGATTATTAAGTATCTTAAGAAAAGAAAAGAAAAGCTCAAGTGAGCAAAGTAAAAATGACAAGAAAATAAATGCTCAAATGAGCAAAGATGAAAATGACATAAAATGTAAATGCTGAAAAATAAATAGTACATAAAGCATAAAAAGAATAAAAACATAAGATAAAACAAGTCAATAATTAGTGGTTAGTTGAATGACCATCTTGAAACTTGCATTTGGAACTCATTAGAGGATTTATAGAACCAAAGCCTCCACACAACAAGTTGCATTTGCTTTTTGTCAAGTATATCATCCATTTGGAATTCTCATAAGTACCATTTAATGATCAATGATGTTTAAGTGATCCGCGTTGACCAAAAGTGTTATAGATCTATTAGAGGATTGGTAGAACCAAAGCCTCCACACAATAAGTCTCAAGGTTATTGGATCTAAGAGATCAAATTAACATGGGCTTGCAATCATAAGTTTGGGCCACGAATGATCATTTATTCGAATCGGGACAAAATTTAGCGCTATGTTAAGCAATCATAAGTGGACTTATATAGAAGTCGCACCTATTTTGAGGCCGGTCAATAGCAACCTATGCACCATTTGTTTTGAGACATGATATAGAGATCATGCTCCAACAATATTTAGTGCAATGAGAAGGGGATGAGATGAAGAGGAATTAGGATAAAAAAAGAAACCACATTTGAATTAATATTTAATCAAACTATTATTAAAATCATTCATCCATTTTTTATGGAGTTAAACTCAACACCATGGATCTAATGATGTTAATAAAGCCATGATCAAAAAATCAACCCAAGACAGCCAGAAAATATTCACAAAATAATAATATAATTAATATATACATTAAAGGGTTTAAAAATGTTTAAGAAATGGAAAATAATGAGGAAAATGTCAATTATATTCAAATTAATCAAGAAATGAAAAATAAGACCATAGAAAAATCAGAAAGGAGGCCAAGTAATTTTATAAAATTTTTGGTAATTTTTAAAAGTCAGAAACTATTTTTAAAAATTAAAATAAATGGGTAAAATAAACAAAAATAGTAAAAAATAGTAAAGTCAGAAACAAAAATAAAATAAGGTCACCAATACTTGTCACAATATCATTGGATCATTCCATAATGTTTTCAGAATTTAAAAATGTGCAAAAGTATTTTTAAACATTTTAAACAAATCAAATAAGTGTAAAATTCATAAAAAATACCAAAACACAAAATTAAATTGTGAAAAAATAAAAATCATAAAGAGAATAATCAAAAATATTTTTCATAATTTTTTCAGATTTTTTGGACTAAAAATGAATTTTCTATAATTTTTTGAAGTTTAAAACATTTAAAATATAAAAATCACAAAAAGAAAATAAAAGTAAAAGATGTGGACCATTGGATGAAAGTCAAAACGCGTTAGTAATCAAATCCAAGGGATCTGGCACATTGTGCATATCATGGTCTTTAATGAATAAAGTACATGATCAATAATAAAATCAGAATTTGAAAATAACAAATGGCACGCCTTCATTGATTAGAAGATGACACGTTGGTCATCTTCAACCTCCAGCCATCACGAATTGCAGGTCTCTCAAACTGTAAAATCAGAAGCTCAGACCTATGCCATTCGCTTCGTCTCTTCAAGATGAAGACAATCACACCCTCGCGCCAAATTTATATAAATTGTAGCTCAAGCAATTTGGAAAGAAAGTTTTGAAAAGGGATTTGAAAATTCTTGGTCAAAACGTGCTTCTAGTGAAATGTAAGTTTTGCAATTAGAACCAGGGCAATGAGAGCAACACAATGATATCAGAGTTTTGAAGAATTGATGAAGGAATCTACCTATTGAAGTTGAGTTGCAGAGCTCTGAAACTGGACTTCTATGGAGCAATATAGGGCACGATTCTTGAATGTAATTATATGGTTAGCTTCAGGGAAGATCAAGGAAGGTGAATTGATGGAAAAATTGGATTGAAAAAGGCTTGAGAATAGAATTTGAAGTAGCTGAATTCTGGGTTGTGAAGCAAGTTTGGCAGGGCGACTCTGGCTATCTAAGCTTGGGAAATTGAATGGGGGATGACCCTTTATTTATAGGGAAGCAAATGGGATCAAAAGGAATAGAAAATGACGCGTTTTGGAGGGAATCTGTGTGGGTTTGCATCATGAAGAAAGTGTGACTCAAACTTGATCAAAACTCAGCCAAATCGTGCGTTTCATGATGCTAATCACTTCTGGCAAGTTGCTAAACATGATTAGAACCAAAAACGCGTGGAAATATTGTGATTAGAAGCCAAAACAAAGATTTCAAAATTCTGACTTTGTGCAAAATTCAGTTTCAAACTACCAAATTCAAATCCATGGCATTTTCACCTCAAGGGGTCTTAGGGTATAATTCTTGATGCTTTGGAAAGATGAGGTTACAAGCTTTGCAATGGAAAAAGAATGGAATCAAATGGATGCTTGAGCTGAAAGTTACATGGAGTCAAAGTTGAAGAAAAAGAGTTGACTTTCCATACTTAGAAATATTTCAAATTCTTCTTTAAAAATGGCCTATAATCTTTTGCATCCAAACATGGCCTTTCACTTAGAATTTTCTCTTGACCAAAAAAGATGGAATGAAATAGATCTCTTGAATGACATTTTGCAATTTGAACCATTAAAAATCTCCAAAAATTGAGCAAGTTATGACTTGTTGAAGTTGGCCAAAAATCATGAAATGACCTATAATCTTTTGCATTCTTAAGGAAACTTCCATCCATTTTCTTACTTTGCACATAAAAGAAGGCATGAAGCATACATCCTTAGGATCAACATGAAAAAATAATGGGCTCAAGGTGATAAAAATTGACCAAGTTATGACCATTTGAAGTCACATATGGAAAATTGGGGATTCATCTGGGTGACTTGTAATCTTTCTTCTTCA